ATTTAGTACTTTCACTCACACTCTTTTTAAAGTGTTAGGATAACACAGTCATTTGGACTGATTCCACTTCATTGTAATAAAAAAATGGTGCACTCCATCTCCACATTCCTCCTCTGAGAGCTCACAGGCAGGAATCCTCTAGGTCTAGGTTGTGAAGAACCTGCTGGGTCTTACGGCCTACAAATGCATTTTCGGTTCAGCATATATTGCTAAGCTACTCTCCAAAGTGCTTTACCACTTATGTTCCTACCACAGTGTCTGAGAGTTTCCACTGGTGGTCCTGCTCACCACCAAAGGGTGGGGTTCCCAGAGCAGTTCAAAGCAGTGAACGAGCTATAGCTCTACCAAGATCAACACGGAGGGATCTTAAGAAGGTGATGGGGAGGGAAAAAGGCAAGTTGCAGAGCACAGAGGGATTGTGGAGAGCAGTTCTATGTGTAATATTTTATTCCTTTGATTAAGAAATGCTTGAGGGATATAAAATATTAACATGTCAATTTGATATGGGAAATTTGATATACTGTTTTCAGGACTTTGTTGTATTTTTTAAAAGATCCTCAGTTGAAAGGGGGGAACTGATGTGGAAGAGTCCCAAAATATACTGGATAACAGATTTTTTTGAGCAGCTTCCAAATTTGGATTCACTTTTCCCCATGCAGAGATTCATATTAGTGGAGCTGGCTAGTCTTCTCTTGTGAACATTGTTTTAAAGTAGATAAAATATCAAGGAATCTTGGAAGTTCTTATTTTTAGCAAGTAGAATGAAAAATTTCCACAGCATGTAAAATAAGTGTTTAACTCGAAGCCTGCCTGGTTTGCTTCACCTCACTATGATCATGTCTAAAAACCTTGACAAGGCTATTCTGGGCCTGGGGTTGGGGAGGTGACTCACTGTGTCCCTCCCTCACCCCATCCCCCAACTGTTTATGCAGGAGAAATCAGATTAGAATGAGCATGATGGGATGCCTTTGGAAGGGGAGTCAGGGACTCTCAGAGACCCTGAGAGACTGCCTTAGAGCAGGATGATGATAGCCGTGTGGGTGAGGTGCTGGCCTCTTAATTAGAATTAGCCACAATTTACTGAGCACCCATTTCCAGGCACTACACTAGCGTTCCTAGGCCTTCCTCTGTGTTCCTGTAAAGGAGTCATTAGAGCAAGCATTTGCAATATGTTTTTATGCTTTCTTTTTGATAGACGTAAAAATCTCATGCCTGCTTTTAATGTTATCCAAAATGATAAAATAAACAAAAGCTTGTGAATAAAAACAGACCAGATACCTGGTTGAGAATCTGCTCTAGGCTGAAGTGTCAGTACTGCCCTGAAACTCTTGGGTTTGGGGCAAATTTGGATTTGAAGCCTGGCCTGACCACTCATGGGCTGTAGACCTCAGGTGAGCTTCTTGCCTTCTCTCAGCTTCTATCCCCTTCTCTGGAAAGGGGCTTCACTTGGACTGCTTTGCAGATTCCATGGGGGCACTTAGCACCCTTGCTAGTTACTTAAAAAAAAAAACCCTGAAAACTCTAATCTGAATTATAGCCTTGGGAAGTAGGTAACCCCTTTCTTCCCATTTTATAGATGAGAATGCTGAGGTCCACACACATAGTTCAGCAAGTTACTTAGCCTAATTGCAGAACAGGGCTAAGCCCAGGTCCTACATACCTAGGCCTGGCCCCTTTCACCATAAAGCCCTGGCTGAGGGTCTGCAGGTGAACAGTAGGTGTAGTGTCACCTTCTCCCCTAGCTGAGTCTCTGAGCCCCCAAAACAGTGTCCAGAGTCTCTGAACCAGCTCATGTGGCTCCCCGGGCCCCTGGATCCAGTTTCCTTAGCACTAGTTAAGTGAGAACTATATTAACCAGCTTGTTGTGGTGCTTTGTCAAGCAGGCTGTAAGCTTTATTTCAGAGGAGCGACCAAGTCTCCTGGTCCTTCTCAGCAAGCCACGAGCCTCAGAGAAACAGGCCATATTTCATGACAGACTTTCATGGGCCACTTTCCCCCCATAATCTCATTTTAGCTTTAAGTTTCAACATTCAACCTTTTACTAGCGTGACACATAGACACACGCATAGAAGAAGAAACTAAACAGACTATTCTCTGTTCCCCTGAACCCCTGAACTTTGCACCCTTTCTTGGTTGCTGAACCTTCCAGCCTCAGTTTCCTCACGCATAGAGTGAGGACACTAGTATTTGCCTGCATGTTTGACAAGTGATCAAAATAAAATGAGATGCTGTGTGGGAAAATCTTTTGCAAAAGTTAAGGCAGTCTTCCTCTCTGATTCTCTCCTATCATCCCCACTAAACCCATTTCTTCCTCAAATAAGCAGTGGGACTGTGCCTTCCACTCTTTCAAAACGTTTCTCAGCAGACCTGCCCATGTGCCTCAGAGAAGAGGGAACCAAATGGCCCCACGCTGAGTCAAGGAAGAAGAAAGAGTTCATCGATGCTGAAGGATTCTTTGCGTTTCTAGCCCTTGTTAGGTAGATCTCTACTGATTGGGTTCTAAGCCAAACTCATTCCAGGAGACCTAGAATCTTTTCAATGAAATCTTGGACAAGTTACTGAATGTACCTGAGCCTTAGTTTCCTCCTTTAAAAAAATGTGATAATGCTTGCTCAGAGGTTACTGTATTAAGTGAGGACATATTATGGTAGTCAGTCAAAGATGTGACTTTTTCCTCTGCCCTTTTACTTCTCCGTATGTGTGTCCTTCTAAACCTCAGAGCCTCAGCTTGCTTTTCCATGAAATGGGAATAATAATACCTGGTCTACGAGGGTCCCAGGGGTATTGTGCCCTCGGAAGAAAGGCTGTGATTAGGACTTTGAAAATGGTGATATGCAGTATGACTTGTGTAGGTAGAGTTATTCTCAGGCCTGTGCTGATCCTCACCGGCCTGGGCTGCTGTGTGCAGCAGCCACATCTAGAGGCCCCTTTATGTAGCTGCTCCCCTGCTCTTCCTGAGGCCCAGGATGCTCACATCTACCTGTGGCTCTCAGCAGCCTCCTAACGCTTGTCACTCACATGCCTTTCCCCTTCTCTTTCTGGGTTCCTCTCTGGATCATGATGTGCAGAACCAGCCACCCACTACTCTGGATGCAAAAATGGTGCCTGCCCCAAACCTGGCTGTTACAAGACCCTTCTCCCTTTACCCCCATGAATAAATACTAAAACGACTCATTATGGGGAGATAAGGAAAACAGGAAGTGCTCCTGCAAGCCCCCTAAGACCCACAAAGTGAACAACCACACCCCCTCCAAAGGCCACCAGCAGCTTCAGTGATGAGGCCATCAGCCCCTCTGCCTCTGTGGTTCTGGAAGAGCCTTTGCATCTCGGACCCAGAGGGGTCTGCCAGCAGTATGGATCTGGAGCCTGGAGCCGGGGGTGGGGGCAGGCCACAGGGGCAGGGGAGCTGACCGCTCTATTCTGGGCACAGTTTCAAGGCCAGCTGCAGGGAGAACAAGCAGTCACTGTGTGCCTGCAGCTGGCAGTGGTTGGGCCAGGGCTGCCCCTCACTTGGGATATATTTAAAGAGACCCCACCAGATGATCATGCCAACAGGAAAAATGCACACATATATCTCTGTCGGCCTCGCTCGGTCACTCCAGGCCAGCCCTCTCTGTTAAGGCAGCTCTGGGGCAGTGCTTTTGTGCAGCAACAGAGGACGTCTGGCTCCTCGGTCTCTCCCAGGTGTGGGTGGTGCCCCCTGTGGACACGCCCCTGGGTCCAGGCCTCTCTGCCCTCTGACTGAGCTGGCCACAAGTTCAGGGCATTAGCCACATTGGCTCCTCCCCCACTGAGGCTGGTAACCCAGCAACCGAGGGGAGATGAGTCAAATAGAAGCGCAGAATCTCTGGCTTTGTGTTTTTGCTTGTGAAAGTTCCCTGTGAGTGCAGGCTCCCTTCCAGCAGGTAGTGGTGGGGCTTTCCCACACTGCTTCAGGCCAAATGCTCCTCCTCAAAGGGATGTCCAGGCCCCACTTGACTGCTAATGCAGAAGGAGGGACAAGGCCGGTGGGCTAAGAGTAGTCCACCCTGGATGAACTCTCTGGCTGCCTCATTCACTTGTTTTACTCAAGTGAAAGTCAGACTTGAGGCCTGAGTCCCCTGGGAATGTGGGGTTGGTAGCTGAGAACTATGGGCAAGGGAACTGGCAGGCCCGGGGTCCTCCCGAGCAGGGACAGAGCTGGTGTGCACCTAAGTTTGGCTTTCAGGTGGCCAGAGACCAGGGCGACCTTCTGGTAGCAGTGACTTCAGGACTTCATGAGAACAACCCAGCAGAAGTGGAGGGTGTGGGAAGCGGGCAGCTTATCAACCAAGGGAGGGAAGCCGACAGGCAAACCGTCTGAGGCAGGCCCTACAAGTGCCGGAAGAGTTAGTAAAACACAAGTGCACCAGCAGGATCAGCTACATCATTTGGGGGGCCCAATTCAAAATGAAACGGCAGGGCCCTTTGTTAAAAACTTATCAATAATTTCAAGATGGTGACAAAAGAGCATCAAGCCAAGGGCCCTTCTGAGCAACTGCACAAGTAGCTGAGCCTAGGTTCTATGAGTCGGTCCTTAAAGCAGCTGTAAATGCTGAGACCTGGTGAGCTGGGGGATGTCTGATCACCCCCTGGCCTCAACCCCCATAGCCCTCAACCCTGCTACCTGTGTACATTAATTCTTAGACTTCTACCAGGCTTGGAACATTGCTTGTACCCCAAGAACAGCTCCTTTCACCTAGCTGGTGACAACTGAATCTTCACCTCTCTGAAAAAGGGGAACTGCAGGCCACAGTGGGAAAGGGCTGAGGGCAGAGGACAGGAAAGGACTGTGGTCCTGGGTCCTCTGGTCTCTAGGTCCCAGAGCGAGGTTGTGGAGATGTGTGGAAACAGGATAGAGGTACAACAAAGGGACTACACTCTGGCTCACTTTTTAAGGACCCAAGGTGACACATCCTTAGGGTGTGTGTGTGATAGTCCAGGAGCAGAATCAAGGTCCAGGAAGCCTTCTCCCCACTTACCTCCAATTCTATGTGGTCGTGGAGTTTCTTGCAGGTGGCTGCAAAGGTCTCTGAGGTACCAAATTCAAAGTACCACAGCTTGTTCTTCATCCTGGACCATGAAGCAGAGAGATGGCTCAATATTGTGTGTTTGAAACGGCCATGTGAAATAGCTATGCCATTGAGGCTGGCAGGCCCAGGCCCTCAGCATTCCCCAGTCTTAGCTTTTTAGCACTTGTTAATCAGATGATCAAGGATGGAAATTTTTTTTACCAAATGTTCTTGCTACAAACTCAGAGAAAAACCTATTTGTTTCTTAGACATCATGGCTACTCTGTGTGAACTGCCAACTAACTGCTTTCTGCATGTCATGGTCAGAGCAGGAGACAGGCTTGCTTGCCTCTCTCTAGCTGGATCAAAGCAAGAGTTCCATGAAAATCAGTCAGCAGTGGCTAGTGACAGTATGCTCCGGTCACTGTCCTTTCTACTACTAATGCAGAGGGACTTCAGGCAGAGTCCTCTCTTGGGTATAATTGGGGTGCAAAGGGAAGACCAGATGCCTTTTTGGGAGTCAAGGGATGGATAGTCTCAGGACAGATGAGGAATAGTCCCACACTAAACCAGCCAAAATATGTGCTACTCTGTCTATATATACTTTGACTGGGGGAAGCAGAGAAGAGAGCATTAGACGCAGATTGGCAGGCAAGGTGGAAAGAGAGGAAAAGTGAGTGTTTGGTAGTGACAGTTCCCCCATCTCTTTCTCACTGTATTTGCTTAGGCCACAGCAATCCTTCATTTAGTGTCGTATTTGCTTCCTAGTAAGAGCTTACCCTTTTGAGCTTTAAAAATTTTCAGTATTTTTCTTACTGAGGAAAAATAGAATTCCCATGCAGCTAGGGGCTTTGCAAAGTCAGATGATGTGTTCTGACACTGCGTCCTTTTGATCAGATGGTCTCACCGGGAAGTGCTTCTGAAATGATTCCATTCCCTTAATCCCAACTATTGTCCCCCTGTCAGGAGCTGACTAGGAGAGGGTCATCTGTCTGGTTTACAACCTGGCAGATTTTGCTAAGGAAGGATTAAACAGAACCATATTCTTGTTGGCACATTCTTCAGGAGAGAGGAAGCCACCCTATACATTGTTGATCCTCCATCCTCAGATTTGTGGACTAAGAGGAGAGGAGCATTCTTCAGAGGGAGGAAGGCCCTTATTTCTTGCTAGTTTTCCCTAGGTCACAGCAGATGACTCCTCAGAATAACAGGCATAACTCTTCCTGCATTTCTCAGAGTCCCTCTAGAACTTGAAGATGTGACTGTGGTCTTCCATTGCATGAAGATTTCTAAAACCCAGTTTATTGGGATGTAACCTTTCTGACTCCTGGTCTGCATAAAAATAAAGGATAAATGCCGAGGAAGTGAGAATAAGCAAGATTTTGGGAGTTTTGCCTCATGAAGAAAGCTAGTGCATCAAGTAGACCAGGGCTTCTCAACCAGTGTGCTGTGGCAGAGGTGTGCCTGAGATGCTAATCTCCTCCACCTTCAGGGTCACCCCCAGGGTCTGGGGCAGGCCCAGACCCAGTGCCACAGCAGGAATTCTCATCTGCATGCTGGACAAATGCCCTTGTTTCCTGTGCATGCCATGATGTGAAAAAAAGGGAAACACTCTTCTAGATCACTGGTTCTCTGTATGCACAGTAATGTGAATACAAATCACCTGAAGATTCATTAAAACTCAGGTTTGGATTCAGTACTTCAGGATGGGGGTTGAAGAATTCCTTGCTTTTTGGTTGCTGCTAATGCTGGTCCAGGGATCACACTTGGAGTTGTGAAAATCTGGAGACTGCATTTGTAGTTCTAAAATGTTAGTATTCATAAGAATTACCTGGGGAATGTGATCAAAATGCTGCTTCCTGGGCTCCAATCCATGGAGATTCTATGTGACAGTTGTGGGATGGAGCCCAGGAATATGCATTTTTATGAGTGCCCAAGTGATCAATCATTATGCAGGTGGTCAGCTGTCAGGACTTTGAGAAACATTGCTCTAGATCCCAATGAAATGACAATCAAGGCAGAGGACAGACCAATCAAACCTGAAAGGGAGGAAAGAATGAGAGTCGGTGCCTTTCAACAGACAAGATGGCAAATGACCCAGTAAGAGCAAAATACAAATTGTCATAAATGTCAGGGTTGAGCGTTCCTCCTGGAATTTTCGTAGCCAAGAGACCTGCATTGTGATTCCATTTTCGAATATCACTGCTGGTCTGAATCATGACTTTTGAAGGTTATTGCCAGGAGATTTAGAGTTTTAATAAAAAATTTTGGAAGCTACAAGCTATTTTTGCCCAGAAGTGGCTCTTCTGATGATCTAATAAGGTTATGAGGTCATGGTTAGATCAGTATCACAGAATGACTGAGGGGATCAAGCAGACTATTTGTCCATTGCTGGGTAGATGCCCACTGCTGGCTGTGTAATCTTTAGCAAGTTTTTTAAGCCTCAGTTTCCACATCTGCAAAATGGAGATAATAAAAAGATGTGCTTCAAAGGGTAGTTGAGAAGATTGAGACTATAGCAAAGCACTTCACATAAGACTTGTTGCATAGTAAGCTTGCCAATAATATTAGCTACTTACAGGCCTATTTGGATAACAGGATAAGGCCAAAATGACAGATCAGGCTGGGCCCATAGACATTCTATATTCAAAAATATCTGGGACACAAAGATATGTGATCATGTTTATCAGATCATGTATCTTGACTTTTGGTTAAAATCGTGTTTCCCACATGCCTATTCTAATAGCTTTTTTTCCCCTCAGAGTCATAGACCACACCCTAATCCTTAGTTATTACCTTCACTGGTCACATGATTGTCCGAAGATATGATGCTGATTGTAAATATGCTTCTGAGAAAGTGCATGTTTGGTGAGACAAAGTATCAATTCAAGAAACACTCATTGTGCCCAGATTAGATAGATTAGGTATAATGAAGAACAAAACACAACATTCCATGAATCAGGCCCCTGGGAAGGACAGACAAGGAAACAGATCATAACGTCATGGCTAAGTACTCAGCACTGGAGTACTGGGAGGAGGAACATCCGATTCTTAGTGGGGCTGGGGTCGTGAAAGCATCCTAGGTGGGGTAACGCCAGGGTTGAGTTCTGAAGGCTGTGAAGGGGATGGAAAAAGTGGAGAAAGGGCATTCCAGGCAGAGGAAGAAGTCCAGGAAATGGCAAAGGAAAAAGAGAGCATACACCTGCTGGAGGGGACCGGGAACTCAAGGGCGGTGGTGACTGGCCGAGTAAGGCTGGAGAGGCAGATAGGAGTAAGTCTGTAAAGGCCGGGGATGCCATGCTTAGAGGTGTTTGGGCTTTATCTCACAGTCTATAGTGTGTCATGGACCATCCTCAAGTGCAGGTGGTATTGGGGGTGGGGGTGGGGTGGCAGTAGTGACCTGGTCAGGTTTGTGCTTTTTAAACATCACTGTGTCCCAAATGTGGAGAGTGAATTGGAAGAGGTGGGTACAGATTAGAGGCCTGGAGAATAGTTTGGAGGTGGTGTAGAAATCTAGAAGAGAATTGGGAAGGGCCCGAACAAAGGTAGTGACAGTAGAGTTTGGGAGAAGAGAATGGATTCACAAGCTAAAATTCAGGAGGTGGAACTGACAGGGCTGGTTTGTTGTAAGGACTGAGTGATATAGAGCAGTCAAAGTGACACCCATGTTTTTGTCTTAGCATGAGAGATGACAGGTGCCATTCACTTTAAGAAGGGCACAGGAGATGAGTTCTTCAGTGGCAGTCCTCTTTGTAATTGAAGGATAAAGCGTTTGTTGATCCATCTGTCCATCCATGCATCTGTGCGTCCATGCATCCATTCATCACCCATAGAACATCTATTGAGCTCTACTATAAGCCAGGCACTGCGTAGGGCCTGGAGATATGTAATGGATATAAGAGATGGGATCTCTGCCCTCACAGAGCTTACATACTTCTAACAGCTTCACCAAGACATCTGACTTTGACCTATGGAAGATTATGTGTTCAAAATCTAAGAACTTGTATTTCTCTTCTTTTAACTCTGGCCTCTTTTACTTAGAAGTAAATACATTCTATTCCTATTTGTTTTTGCACTCTGCTAAACATTTTACATCTACTATCTCTTTCAGTTTCTGAAGAACCCTATGAGGTAGGCATAGTTGCTACAAATAAGGAGACAAAGACTTGGGAAGGGTAAGTAACTTGCCTAAGGTTGCAGAGAAAGTTAGGTCAGAGGGGACACTGAAACCTGTCTGACCCCAGAGCCTGTGGTTTGCCAGACTGCTACGGCTCTCCTTCACCAGGTTGTTAAATGCATGCACTTGGGAGCCTAGGATGTTAGTGCTGTGTTTGATAAAGAGTGCCAGACCCTCCCAGCTCTCAGTGGCCAGTTGAGTTCTAGGGGAATTTGAAATGGATTTGTCACTGGAACCTCTTGGTCTTGGATCTACAAAGTCTCAGAAAGTCATGGAGACTAGAATTGACCACTGGCCAAGCCAGATGCTCCCAAGACACCCTGTACCTTTCCTTCTCTGAGCTCAGCCAGAAATGGGGCAGAGGCAATGCCCCCGGATCAGCCCCAGCACAGAATGGAATCAGAGAAAGCTAGTGGACAAATATAAACCGTTCTTCAGCGCTTCCCACTTCAGGTTCAACATGGGCCATTATCAGCCCCTCGTAATGCATAGACCAGAACCAAGGAGGCCTGGGCTCAGAAACCTGCCCCTGCCCTTTACGGGTCATGTAACTTTGAGCAAATTTTTCACATTTCTGAGCCTCTTTATGTATCAGATAGTCCAATACTTAATTCACAGGGTGATATAAGTATTGAAAGATATATTTAAAATCATGTGGAACAGGTATTGGTCTATAGAAGGCCCTCACCCCCTATATACACTAAATGTTTATTGATTGAATGTTGCTGATGCCCTGTCAACAATCAAAGTACTCTCTTTCCTAATGCAGGTCACTTATCTGGTTACTCAGAAAAGTAGCCAGCAGCCTTTATTTGAGATAATGTAAAAGGGGATTATTTTGGCTTTCTCTGTCCTAGCCACCATGATGGTTGAAAGTACAAAGG